TCTGATGATCAGGGTGCTCTCACATGGGAGGAGCTCTGCTCAGCCACAAGCCAGGCTGATGGCTGCCAGTACAGCGGTGGTGGTTGGAGCCTCTCCTGCCGCCTCAGCAGCACTAAGGATATCCGACAGCAGTTTAGGCCTGCTCCCCGCTGACAAATGGACATCCCCCGAGGGCTGCCCGGCTGCCACAGGGATATCATATGCCATCTTAGGCCCAATCCCCCGGGGAGCGGGGCCTAAGCCAGCAGGTGGTCATCCCCTGTGGGGTCCCAGACTGGGAGAGGTTGTAGGCAGGGCTGAGGGACCCCCACTCCCCCCCGAGGGCACAAATTTTTGTGCACCGAGCCTCTAGTTGTGTTTATAAAACAGAGTGGATTATACACAAATACATTCATGAGATTTACAAAATCATCAAACCATCTTGATTTCATAGTTGTCAAATGTGTGTCTCTGAGCCTTAACTGTTAACCTTATTTCAGCTATTTTTCCTTTTTTTTCCCCAAATAAATTTTTATGGATTTTAGAGAGGGAGAGGTAGAGAGAAATAGAAACATCATTGATAAGAGGGAATCATTGTTCGGCTGCCTCCTACACACCCCACACTGGGGATTGAGTCTGCATCCTGGTCGTGTGTCCAGATCAGGAATCAAACCAGAGACCTTTTGGTGCATGGGTTAGCAAGGCAACACTGAGCCACATGAGCTGCACCAGGCAGAATAATCTTGTTCTAAGATTACTCATAGTAAATTGCTGAAACATTAATCTGTACCGTGGATTTGTGGGCATGTGTCATCCTCGTAGGTCAGTGTTAGAAAACACATCAGAGAATGTTAGTGGTCAAAGTGATCTATTAAATAATTCAGGATACTCCCCTAGGTCCAAACCTCTTCTGACACTGTTTTCATGTTGGGTGACATTATGAACTTTTCTGGTGACCTCTTGGTAAATGTGTTTTTCTTTCAGGAACCGTTGACCTTTAGGGATGTGGCCATAGATTTCTCTCAGGAGGAGTGGGAATGCCTGGACCCAGCTCAGCGGAAATTGTACCTGGATGTGATGTCAGAGAACTACAGCAACTTGGCTTCCCTGGGTAAGGATGACTTCTTCCTGAGTTCCTACTCCACCTGCAGTGTTTGCTTTCCTTTATTATTTTAACATCTCTAGGGACTTTTGCTTTCTGTGTTAGATTCTACCTCTCAAGGAACAAATTGGGCCCTAGTTGGTTTGGCTCAGTGGATAGAGCGCCCGCCTGCAGATTGAGAGGTCCCAGGTTCCATTCTGTCCAAGGGCAAATACCAGGGTGCAGGCTTGCTCCCCAGTAGGGGGCATACAGGAGGCAAGGGGAACAAATTGGGGGTCCTTGGGATAGAAAAGAAACGCTTTGTGATGTATGTGAATTAGGAACTCAGTGTTTGCACACTTTACATGTTGTGTACACTAATTAAGGTACTAATTAGAAAATAGTATTTAGCAACGATTTTCTAGAATATTGTAATACTAGAGGCCCGGTGCACATGATTCGTGCACTGGAGGGGGGAGATCCCTCAGCCCAGTCTGTTCCGTGTTGCAGTCCAGAACCCCTTGGGGGATGTCTGCTTGCTGACTTAGGCCCTCCCCCCCTCCCCCCACCTATGAGCCTAGCTTCTGGAGGAGCGGCGCTCCCCCTGTGGGAGCGCACTGACCATCAGGGGGCAGCTCCTGCATTGATAGAAGGCAGGCAAAACTAAAATCTCTAAGACAACAGTGATCACTACTACTTTGTGTTTTTGTGTCTCTTTGTTAAATTTTTTTTTTTTATGTGTGTGTTTTTACAATGTGCAAAAAATTGATGCTGTGGCTTTTCATTGATCATAATGGTAGTTTTGATCATAACGGCATTGCCCCCTGGTGGTCAGTGCGCGTCATAGCGACCAGTTGTTCTGCCATTCAGTCAATTTGCATATTAGGCTTTTATTATATAGGATCCTACCATGTCTTCTGGCCAGAGGGCAACCTGGATTGGAAATGGGAAAACCTCTATCAAAATTCACACTCCATTTTCTTTTCGTTATTTTTTCTTTTTTTTAGATTTTGTTGATTTCAGGCAGGGAGGTACACTTAGAGATAGAAACTTCAACTTGGCATTAATTGATTTTTTTGTATGTTCCCTGTCCAGAGATCAAACCTACAACTTTGGTATATCAGTACAATCCTCTTAGGAACTGGGCTACCTGGGCAAGCAGATTGGATTTTTTTAAAATTTTATTTTATTTATTGTCTAAAGTTTTACATATGTCTCCTTTTTTCCCTGATTGACCCTCCCTCCCACCTCCCTGCCCCAGCTCCGTGGCCATCGCTGGCTGAAAGCTGGTATCTGGGGTTTATTTATCTTCTATAATTGAAACTTTGTTACCTTGAGTGGAGCTCAGAGCCAGCTGCGGCAGGTGGGAAGCTGGGCTTCCTCCATCCCTGGAGCAACCAAACCTCCTGCTTGCTGCATTTGCATATAGTCCCTCTGATTGGCTGGTGGGTGTGGCTTAAGGCATAACGAAGGCACAGTCCATTTGCATGTGTCTCTTATTACTGTAGATAGTGAAGACATCTGAGTGGAAAAGGACTATTTTCAAAAATATATATATTTTATTGATTTTTTTTTTACAGAGAGGAAGTGGTAAGGATAGAGAGTTAGAAACATCAATGAGAGGAAAACCTCGATCAGCTGCCTTGAGCACACACTCTACTGGGGATGCCCCCACACCCAAGGTACATGCCCTTGACCGGAATCAAACCTGGGACCTCTTGGTCCGCAGGCTGACACTCTATCCACTGAGCCAAACCGGTTCATTTGAGTTGACATGTAAGGAGATAAAATTTATATCTCAACTCATCTCCTTCAGCATATGACTATGTTTTTATTGTAGAGATGATAAAATAGCTGCAAATATAACTTCCATGTTATTGAATGTAAAACCACGTTAATTTTATACACTTCACATTTTTAAAAGGCAAATATGTAACCAAGTTTGTATTTCAATCCGGTGTATTAAAATGGAAATTCCCAATGTATCAACTCAAACTTTAAAGAAAAAAATAAATAAGGCATCCTCAAAAGAAAAAAAAAAACGAGAAGAACAGGCTGAGAAAATATATTTGTAAAAGTCAACATGGCCCGGCTGGCATGGCCCAGCAGTTGATAGTCCACCTATGAACCAGGAGTTCACAGTTCGATTACTAGTTAGGGCACGTGCCAAGGTTTGGGCTCCATCCAAAGTAGGGGATGTACAGGAGGCAGTAGATCAATGATTCTCTCTGATCATTGATGTTGTATCTCTCTCTCCCTCTTCCTCTCTTAAGTCAATAAAAAAATATATATTAATTTAAAAAGTCAAAATATAAGAGACAATTATGCAAAACAGACAAAGAAATCTTCAAAGTCAACACTGACAAAAGAATCTACATGACTGAAAAGGGCCAAACACCTTAACTCACAACACTACAAAATATATACACATAGAAAATCAGTGTAAGAAAATCCTGCACGTCTAATGTCACTAAGGAAATGCACATTAAAACAATGAGAAGTAACAAACAGCACAGGCAAGCAATACTAAACCACCATGGAACAGGTCAGAATACATAACACTGACCCCACCAAATGCCTTTGTAATGTGGAACAACTGGAACTCCAATCACTGCTGCTGAAAATGCCAAATGCTACAGAGCCTTGGGGAGACGATCTGGAGGTTTTTATAAAACTAAATATACGCTCGCCATGGGATCCACTAATTGGGCTCCTTACTATTAAATCAAAGAGTTAAGCCTTTTATCTACACAAAAGCTTACAAAGGGCTGTTTTATTCATAATTTACAAAAATTGGTCTTTTGGTTTTTTTTATAATATACTAGAGGCCCAGTGCACAAAAATTTGTGCACTCGGGGGAGGGGGTGGTTACTGAGCCCGGCCTGTGCCCTCTCGAATTCTGGGACCCCTCGGGAGATAACGACCTGCTGGCTTAGGCCCGCTCCCGGAGGGCAGAAGTCAGGCCCAATCCCTAGGTGCAGCCCCTGGTCGGGCTCAGAGCAGGGCTGATTGGGGAGTTGGGGCGCCACCCCCTGTCATGCACAGAGCAGGGCAGATCGGGAGGTTGCAATGCCACCCTCAGTCAAGCTCAGGGTAGGGCACCGCCCCATCACATGCAAGGCAGGGTCGACGGGGAGGTTGTGGCGCCACCCCCTGTCACGCATAGAGCAGGGCCAATCAGGGGGTTGGGGCGCTGCCCCCTGTCACTCACAGAGCAGGGCCCATCAGGGAGGTTGGGGTGCCACCCCCTGTCACGCACAGAGCAGGGTCCATCAGGGGGTTGGGGAGCTCCCCCCTGTCACGCACAGAGCAGGGCCCATCGGGTTGAGGAGCTCCCTGCTCTCACAGAGTAGGGCCGATAGGGGAGTTGGGGCACCGCCCCCTGTCACACACAGAGCAGGGC